TGGTAAACATTGTACAGCTCCATTCAAATAGATTAATCCACGAAGTGACAAGTTTTATCTTCAATGCCCAATTTATCATTAAGCAAACCGTTTGATTTATGATGGAAAGCGGACAGAAAAAGAATAGACTCAGAATCAGTTCAATCAGATAAAATGTAGGTGATATTTTCCCTTATTTTTATACTTTCCTCCAAATGGTACATTACATATGTTAGATAAACTATCGTTTGTACATCCAGCTGATGAGTCCCGAAAAGGACGAAGTGCGCGTCCTGGATTCCACTACTAGCCACTATCCATCTTAGCTTGTGAAATAAGGCAATATCGAGGCATATGCTAATAACAGACTGATAAATTGCAGTCTTAAACCTCAATGGGAAGATTCAAGCAACACAATACCAAGTGAATTTATCATCTGTTTGTTAATTCGTCCTCAAAAATGTTGAGATCAACTGTTGGTCAGCAATCTACTAGGTAAAAAGTCTGAGGTAAATCGCTCTAGATTTAAGGCATTTTTAGGTATAGAGTAGTGATACTAGTCTGTCCCAGCTGAAGTTAGACAGTAGGATTTAAACTAATTTTGCATTTAATTTTAGTATAATCACACGTGTGGGATGATTTCTCTAGAACAGAGATGTTTTGTGTCACAGTAAATTATTTAGCAACCAGCACTTTTGGTAAATATAAACTAATCATATTTCAAGTTAAACAGACAAAACGACTTTTTTAATACCTTGAAAAGCCACACATAATTCACTTCCATAAGGGTTAACCTTGAACATAATATTTGAGTTAATTTCCATAATAATTTATTTAATAGGTTCAGTCAATAAAACTATCATTGTATACTGAATGCATCAAATGAACAAATTGGAAAAACATTTAAGGGTAATTTTTATCAGTTGAATAAGTATTGACAACTCAAAAGCACTGAATAAGTAGTTGGTTCTCGTTTAGCATTCCTCTTAAGAGTGTTCATATGTAATCATAGTCAACACTTTGCGGTCAGAAATCCAGGATGATACTACTGAGATGGGGTCTGAAGTTTCGAATTTTTATTTCCATCATTTAGTTACTGCCTCAACCCTAGTTTGTTAACTTCATAAGTAGTTTATATTTTTAGATTCCTCAGAAATAAGTGCACAGTCAGTTTGAAGCTTTATTTATTTATTTAAACACATAAACATTGGTACAAGGAGGCACCAAATATATATGCGCCACATTAGATCATTCGATTTGTGTGAGGGCTGGGATACTGCCCGGGTGCTCAGACCGAAGCAGGTGGTTTTCTTAGGGGGCCATACATGGAGCCTTCGACCTAAAGGTCTGACCCACAAGGCGATGGAGCATCGTGAGGAGATGCAGTCCCATGGTATCCGGTGATCAACGACTGGTTCATACGCCATTTATTCCTTCAGGATACTGGAGCCCATGTGCACCATTGGTTTGGAATCAGGGTTTTCCAACTACCCTACGTGATCTCCATGTCCACTAACCTGGTTAACGCGCCGGACATTCACTTTTCATCCTCTCAATTTCGTAAACAACACCCCCGCCACGAGAATGCAGTGACTATATACGCGTGGCCATGTGAGAGCATTTCGAGAGAGGGGCGGGCCCACCCCACTCTCGGCTATACCAGGGCATTTGGGGACAGCTTGAAGCTGTACGATGAACTATTAAATTCCATAGAAAGCATATCAGCATTTCGATTACTGAGTCTGAATCCGGGACGCGCGTTTCGTTATATGGATGTACCTGCATCCCAAGGTTGATGGTCACTCCAAACCATTTAAGATTGAGTTCACTATGAGACCCGTTGCACAGGCAAGCGACTATCTGGACTCAATAGTTAAGCGAATAACGCGATGGATTTTGAAGCGTATGGTATTGGATTATTGTCTTAGAATGAACATCAGATTTGGGATGCAGGTACATCCAACCGACGAATCCCATGTAGGAAGAAACCCAAGTCTTCCATTCCACTTCTAACCACATTCCGTCTATTCTATATGAACTTGTATCATAATGACTATTTAGAGACAATCCACACACGATGCACATATGTCAACCGAGACTGATCATAATTCAGTGAAAATTCTTCACAAGGAGACAATCCAAATTATTTCGAATTAAACAAAATACTGACGTGTTAATGAATTATTGTTTGATACTGTTATATCCCGTCGAGAATTACGAATGGTAACTCTTGAGAACTATTTATAGCCAAATACGATACATATATTTTTATTGTATAATTATTAAGTAGCTAAACTATGCGTATTCATGTTCCTCTTCTTAAAAGGATTATTTTACCCATAGACTATTATTAGACGATTTAACGTTCTTGAGTTCTGCCTGGTCTATTGATCTTGTACAAATGCTATTTTCCATTTTATGGCGCGATGTGATCTGTTTGGTTTGTATATAAATCCAGTATAGCAACTCACGTGTAACTGAGTTTGTTCACATTTAGTTCGATTAAGCCATTTTGTTAACTTATTAACGAACTGAGTCATCCGTACAACGACACTTATCAATATCATTGTGTCTTTATTATTGCTGTGAATGTATGAACATGTATGCTTGAGCATTGCTTACTGCCTACGCATTTATTCACGATGCTAGCCCTACTACTAACCGCTAAATTGACTCGATGATTCATTCATTTCACTATGTATATATATGTCCATGTTATTCATATTCGCTGCTCTCTCTCTCTCTCGCTTACTTGTACTTGTACTTGTACTCGCTTACTCGTACTCACATTCGCTGACTAACTCGCTCGCTCGCTTGCCTGCTTGCCTTTCGACACGACTCTTTCATGCTTGTTTAACGCACCTGTAATTTGGGATATCTGTGTGTGGTCCCATAATAAACGTAATCAACACTTCGTATTCGCCTTCTGATTAATATACCGTTGGGGCGTTATCTAGTGACGGTTGTCAAGACGAACTTTATACGAAGTTTAAGGATTATATTGAATAACGACTACCACACCAGTATGTTTGAAATACATGTTTGTTATCGCAGAGGCTGAGATTGATGTTCTTGAATTAAAAGCCATGGTTAGGCTGGAAGAAGGACCGATAAAGACTCTAAACTGCTTGTACAGGTTTTATTTATCATTGGAGCGGTTGATAAATCATTGTTCTCTAATTGGTGGTATAATTACGTTATATATTAATAGGATACAAGGCCACAAGATATAACAAATATAATGCATTCATTAATATTATTGAAAACTTAAAGTAATTTCAACTATTGATATTACTACAATTTCCACAAAACTCATTCTGATACTGATCAAAATATACGGACTAGTGACTGGCTTCAAGATGTATATCCCGGAGTTCTAGTGAGAAACAGTGACCAATGGAGTTCAATTGGGTCAGTTGTGAGATAGTAACTCACAATGGTGGATATGTCGATCAATTCCGCGGATTAATTGAAGTTAGACACTAACATCATTGAATGCCATCTCAGTGGTCTATTGGTTGAGCTCTCGCGCGTGAGATTGATAGGTCATGCGTTCGAATCTCGCATGGCGTGATCATGGATGCGTACTGCTGAGGAGTCCCATAGTAGGACGAAACGACCGTCCAGTGCTTCCAGGTTTTCCATGATGGCCTAGCTTCAATGGACTCATGATCTGAACTATTGTAATTTTGTTTAGCAAATAGATCATGTTGAAAATGTATTTCAATTTAAGTTTAATCAAAAAATCACTGTCAACTTAATAGGATTTACTTTTCATAATTACACAACACGAATGAATGAATATATATATATATATATATATATATATATATATATATATATATATATATATAGTAAGCTTGTTTTTCAAAGATATTACAATGAATTTCTTTTGTTGAAGATTTTTACTTTCAGCAATGATTCAATTGAGAAATTATATTCAATTAGAAAATGTAAAATAATAAGCAGAATAGAATATATTTTTTATTAGAATGTAATTTTAATATGAATATGATTTTTTTGTTTTTATTTTATAAGAAAAGGATATGATTAAAGCAAAACAACATATAGATAGATAATTAAACATAAACACAAATCCTTTAATATGTTTCTTTTTATTATTAATAATCAATATAATATATTGTTTTAATGAATAATCCTGTTAAATAATTAAAATCAATAAACAATATATATATATATATATATATATATATATATATATATATAGTAAGCTTGTTTTTCAAAGATATTACAATGAATTTCTTTTGTTGAAGATTTTTACTTTCAGCAATGATTCAATTGAGAAATTATATTCAATTAGAAAATGTAAAATAATAAGCAGAATAGAATATATTTTTTATTAGAATGTAATTTTAATATGAATATGATTTTTTTGTTTTTATTTTATAAGAAAAGGATATGATTAAAGCAAAACAACATATAGATAGATAATTAAACATAAACACAAATCCTTTAATATGTTTCTTTTTATTATTAATAATCAATATAATATATTGTTTTAATGAATAATCCTGTTAAATAATTAAAATCAATAAACAATATATATATATATATATATATATATATATATATATATATATATATATATATATATATATATATATATATATATATAGATAGATAGATAGATAGATAGATAGATAGATAGATAGATAGATAGATAGATAGATAGATAGAAGAAAGAATATGGGTGATAAGAACAATGAAATAGAATATGAGGTAGAAATTTATTAGATATCAATGTAAATCATTCACATGAATTATCTTTTTTTTTTAAAAACTTACATTATATCCATTCAATAATGAATATTCATTTGAAATTTGAATGTATATTGAACATATTGAATGATTATATGTAAACATTTAAACAATTTAAACGATATATATATATATATATATATTAATAGTAAATAATATTGATTATATTGTAAATGAATTAAGATTTATCATTAATTAGTATAATTAATTTTAAGAATAATAATGATCGATTTTTGATAGATAATAGAACAAATAGTTAATTGAATAATGACATAGTAACTGTATATCAACAACACAAATACATAATTATTATTAATTTATTTTCAAAATGAGAAAATCTCAATTCACTACAAGTTAATTATTTAAAGGTTATAATAAGTATTTATTTATTTATTTTGTGCCTATTAGTTATACCTGATTCATAAATAAATTGCTTTTTTTCTTTTCCCTTCTAATCAATAAATATGGTTGAAATAGTTTGTTTGTTTGTTTTTGTTAAAAAAAAGCTCACCGTTTGATAGTTCAGTAGTTTATTTGATGTTTTGCTTCTATTTATTTATTTTTTTTGGAGGGTAGGGGGAATTATATTCAAAACAGTAATACTGTACATCGATATTGTTAACTACATTTAACTAGTTAACATTGTTTCCAATGATATAGTATTTCATTTCTTGTAATTATATTTTGACCTGAATTTATTGATTTGAATAAAATGATGAATACATATTTTTATTGGTTATATATTGAAATTTATCCTTATCATCATGTGGGTAATTTAAACTAACCTCTTTAGAACTATGTGGGTCGGAAATGATGGATGATTGACTAATTTGTTTTTTTAATTTATTAGATGGTAGTTTTGTGGGTGACCTTAACCTATTCAACTGGTAATTCGATGATAATGTTGAAGGTGAAGTATGAGATTGTATTCGATTATGTTGATTCACTTGATTGTTTGACGAATAGTAATCAGAACCTAGACGTAACCGTTGTACTTGACGAGTTCTTTTTAATTTATCATTATTGCTATCATCAATATTGTCGTCATCAACAACTGAATTTTTTTCACTATCACATGATTCACGTGCAGCACGACGTACAAATTTTGACAATCGTCTTCTCCATGATTCCCTCCATTTTAATACTACACTATGTGTATCAAGTAATAACTCCATTCGATCACCATATGGGACCTGTGTGGTAAATCAAAAAAAATACCGGTAAAATCACAGTTGTACAGCAGATTTTAAACGAAATTCAGTTGATTTTAAACAAATGACTCATATAGTTTATTGCTTCATATATGTTGTTAGTATTACTTTTGTGCTTGTGAAAATGTGGGTTATAACCTTGACATTTACACTTGATACACTATCTATATCGTATAATTAGTATTCGTAGGTTTTTGTAGTCTTGTATCAATACATAGACGTAAATGAAACTGAATTTAAACACTTACCAAACAATTGTTTAGAGTTAGAAACACACGCGTTTTTTTTAACTATTTTCTATGAATTCAACCTCATTTGTTTTGAAATTCTATTTGGCAGATACGCTTATTTGTCTTAAAATATCTGAACTTTGAAAACGAAATGAAATTATTTGGCTAACTAGTATGTAAACAATAGAAGATTTTGAGAATATTTCACTTCTCCAAATGGAAACAGATAAGGTAAGATCACCCTAAACAAACCGCTCAACTAAATCGTAATTACGTGTTCACTAGTGATTGACTTTGAAATAAATTCGTGAAGTTTTTTTGAGAAATTGCAACTTGTTAAGTAAACTGAAATAATATGCCCTTACGATATTGTCTTTAACACTACGTTCATCGGGTATTTACTTTCAAACTATCCAAATAGAATAAGTGAATTATTTAGAGTAATGTATCAAAGTGAAATTATAACACAGAAACAGGTGAAATAGTTTTCCTCTATGAGTTCTCTTAAAAAAATGGTTTTAGCTAAATCTTAATCATTAAGCCACTTCAAGATGGATTTGTGAAGTTCTAAAAAAAGTTGTAACTGGTAGAATTTAATCAAATCGGAAGTAGATCAGACATCAATAATCAATACTTATCCGTAAGCTCAAATTTTATGTTGCCTAGTCTAGTTTAATGAAGTGGTTAAGGCAGTTAACTAGCAACCACCTTGTTGAACCCCAAGCTACCTACTTTATTTTGATCAGCCAACTTATATCACTAGGCCTCATATAAACAGTGTGACTGAGAGCCGAATACATAAACCTTGACATGATAAGTGAGTAATGCCATATTTATTGGTAATTCAACAGAATGGCTAATTAGTATAGTAAATTTCATGGAATCATTTTTTTAAAACTAGTCATAGAGAATTAGTACTTTATGATTTAATTTCTAATTACATTTCCTACAAGAATGATTATCTTCCAAAATGATCAACTGAATTAGATATTTTATAGTTTAGAATATTAAACAAAACGCTTCTTCAGTTAATCTAGATCAGTTTTATCTCATCTTAGAAATATCCATATACTGTCAATTCGGTTTTGTTTTTGTTTGTATCCTAATCAGTTCAAGAGTAGGGTAAAAAATTTCCCTTGATAAATTGTTTAAACTTTTATTCAGTCATTGATTTATGATATTCAGTCACGTATAGTAATATATACCTCTGATATTACCTCTCTCTGCTACAATTTCCTATTCATTTTGATCAGAAAGCGTGTATGGGAATGTAAATGATAAATGAAGTTTGATATATTTATCATTTCTATTGATTTATTGAGTTGGAATAATCAAATCTTATTAATAAATATGTATAGTTCATCATCATCATCAAAACACTTTTTTTGTAGTGCAATCGTTAGCAACATAAAACTAAACTATTTTTTATTCGATACATTTCCAATGATAAGTGTTTCTTTACTAATATCATTATTATTTATTTAAAAGGTCCTCACAATTTTTAATGACCAGCTAAATATTATTATAAAGTGCCCCCAAATGCCCTGGTACGGACGAGAGTGGGGAGAGTCCGCTCTCCCTCTCGAAATGCGCTCACATGGCCACGCGTATATAGCCTCTGCCAGGGAAGTCCTACTCACTGCATTCTCGTGGCGGGGTTATTGTTTACGAAAATGAGAGGACGAAAAGTGAATGTCCGGCGCTTTGACCGGGTTGGTGGACACAGAATTTTCATCTAGGAGAGTTGGAAAACTCTGATTCTAAACCAATGGTGCACATGGGCTCCAGTATCCTGAAGGAATAAATGGCGTATGAACCAATCGTTGGTCACCGGCTACCATGGGACTGCATCTCCTTACGATGCTCCACTGCCTTGTGGATCAGACCTTTAGGTCCAAGGCTCGAGAAGTGGCATCCTTAGAAAACCACCTTCTTCGGTTTGGGCACCCGGACAGTATCACAGCCCTCACACATATCAAATGAGATCTGTGTGGCGCATATATATTTGGTGCCTCCTTGTACCAATATCTATGTGTTAAAAATAAATAAATAAATAACTTATTATAAAATATGAATTAATGTTTATTGCTTTGGAAATTTTAATTGGTGTTGTTAATAATATTAAGTTCAATGAAAGTTGAATTTATTTTCTAAAATTAAAAATTAAATGTAATGCCTATCGAAAATTTCAACAATAACTCGTATTACCAGAATATCCAATTAATAATTTCTTGATCTGTTTATTTACCATTTATAACTCTATCCTTCAGAAATAAACCTGAATGACTTCACCGTGAAAATGTTTTTATTAGATTTTATTTAGTATCTGATGGGGTTTTGTGGAGATTGTAGTAATTTTAATAATTGAGATCATGAGTCAATTAAAGCTAGACCACCATGGAAAACCTGGAAGTAATCGACGGTCGTTGGATGTCGGCTCAGTGGTCTAGTGGTTAAGCGCTCGCGTGTAGGACTGGTAGGTCATGGGTTCGAATCCCTCGAGGCGGGGTCGTGGATGCGCACTGCTGAGGAGTCCCACAGTAGGACGAAACGACCGTCCAGTGCTTCCAGGTTTTCCATGATGGTCTAGCTTCAATGGACTCATGATCTCAACTATTGAATATATGTTTTATTTGTTGCTTTTTACTTATCAAGTAAAGATTTGAGTACATTGATTGATCATTGATTAGCAATTCATATTATATGTTTATTCCTTAGTACTGATATAGACATGTATATCGTTTTATAGTGTTCTTAACTTATCAGGGATTTAGTCGCTGGTAATGTCTTTAACTGTAATACTGAATTATTAGAGTTTCGATTCCACAAAAGGATCAGTAGTCTTAAAATAAGTGCTACACCTTTCTACCACTAGGAAGGGTAAGACTATAAATTATAGACGACCATTGAGCGACTCCAAAGTGACCTTGAGAATGCCCATCTACTTACTGGGGCTAAATGAGGCTTATAAACTAGTGTGAGGAATTCCAATTATGATTTACAGTTGATTTTTAGAGCTAAGAATTAGATTTGTGGTTTTCATCACGAACTGACATCAGCTATAATGTCCAAACGCTAATTAGACAAATGGGTGAATGAAGTTCGTACCAAAATCCAAGATCTGTTATCCTAAATCTGATCGGTTCGTCCATAAATTATAGTCTCGTCCATGAGTTTTACTAAAATCTTGTAACTAATAGTACTTGATGCAATATACTTATGTATATAAATTATAAATAGGCTTTTCTCTAGTTAACGTTACATGTTGTACAGTTGAAAAAATTAACTGAAATCAATCAACCTGTCGGTTTTACAATAGCTATTTAAGTTAATAATCAAAACCTATGATACACTATCCATTTGTTTCAATAGATGAAAATTGACTATAAAGAACGTGTAAAGTTGTTTTTTTATGGAGTTTTGTTATTTATGCTGGGTGATCTAATAGTGAAACTTTCATTGTATTTTTTGACAATATCATCAGTACAAACACCAGATAGAATTGAGTTATTCTTCACATAACTAACAGTATATTTTGTCAACAATTAATTTCATTTTCAAACCAAAATAGGTCTTGTTTATCGACCGATTAGAAAAATTCTAAACAACCGTGAGGTCAAGAGCCTAGTCAAGAGGGAAGTCAATCAAAATAAGATCCAGACAAAAACAAGACAAATATTGTATGATAACAACCAATTGAATTTATTGTTAACAAAAGAAGCTATTAGTTTTATGTGGAGAAATTCTGATAGCTTACTTCTATCTGAAGTTTGTTCTGGTGACGATTGTCTTATGAACTCTTACACCATTGGGATTTATATGATAACCGTTATCAAGGTGTTTGATAAACAAAACATAAGGAATAATCTCGAAGCCAAGCCCCTACAATTTCACATAACATAATACCTCTATAAATTGTCTTTAATATGAACTTTTCAAAACAGCTCATTCTGCAAGCATTGATAATGAGTCATTAAACTGAGATGATTCTACTGATGCCTCTCGATCATAATTGATCTTAGTGACTTGTTAACAATTACAGCAAAATTGTATAATAGAAAGGTTGTATTGAAGGTGATATCAAGTAAATTTCGAAACTTATAACTAGAGAGAGGTGATGAGGAAAAACAATAGACTTTAATTAGTTAAAGAATGATCGTTATTAGTTCAAGTGATATATGGATCTTCTAGCTGACGAAATAAAACCGACTTAGTGAGCAAATATTCAAAAAGTTTACTTTTTATATGATAAAAGTACTGAATAATCAACATCACTAGATTGATATACGCTTATCTCATTGTAAGCATGTGTTGTTCTTCTTAATTGTGTTTTAAATATAGTCCTTTCAATATAAACTTATATAATAGTTCTTTTATATACAAACACAAATCAGCATTAAAATTATTTCATAATACCTGATGCGAACGTGTTATGAACAAATATGATTGACCAACTTGAAGGTTTGGACATAGACATCGTGAATGACGTTTATCTGCTGAGTTATTTTTTATGCGTAACCAAACTCGATAGGCCGGTAGATTTGGCGATGCTGTTTTAGGTAATAAGTGTTCAGCTGCTCCAGTAATACGCCATGTGTTTTGAATATCGACTTCAAGACGCATTAAATCTCCATGAATTGTTCGAGATTTGACTATGCCACGAAAAACTATAGAAAAAAAAGAAATTTATTAACGTGCAAAATGTTCATCATAGAACTTGTTATTTCTCATGATTTGTATAAAACTGCTTAATTAGAAGGAAAAAACTCTTCATATTATAGACCACTAATTTTAGTTTTAATCATCAATAGATTATTTATTCTAAATACGTCGGTATTTATGATCATATTTCATTGCTTTCTGGTTCATTTTCTAGTGATTTCCTTTACCGGCAATAGTTTTCCAACCAACAGACTTGAATATGCTATTTGTTATTTATATCCACAATAAAAAATTTCTGACAACAAATACTTAAAAGCTATAGAGGCAAATTAAAAATTCTTAAGTTCCTTGACTATTCTATGAAAATAATAAAGCATATAATACAAGAGAATAATTTGACTAAAGTCATGAATTAGTTGATTTTTAAACTAGCACTCCGTGGGTAAGCGAATAACGCGATGGATTTTGAAGCGTATGATACTGGATTATTGTCTTAGAATGAACATTAGATTTGGGATGCAGGTACATCAAGTGGGTAAAAAGAAAAAGTAAATTCCTTCGTCTAGATTATCTTGTTCGAATAATAATTTTCCTATCAAACGAAAGAGAATGTCAAGGCTGGAGAACCGTTCTCCATTACATCACTCAGTTACACAAGTCTCAATTCCATTGCCTACAAATTCTATCCACTGATATAAATAAATAACAACTAATATAAAACTTATTAACTGAAATTATGAATCAATCAAAAGTACATTAATTAGGGTCTACTCTACGGATCGATACTTTGTTATATATGATTCTTAAGGGATTATTATAATCTGGGAAGGATGAGTCAACTTGGTAGATAAGCTTAATCAATCTACGATTTAGTACTAGTTTATACAGAAAGCCATAGGTTAGGATATTCTTCTTTTTTTTCAAACATTTCTGACTCTGTCAGTCTAGTTGAGTAACTTAGATTATTCAGATTAATTAAGTAATATGAAGAAAATATTATGTAGTCTGGTTTCAATTAATGTTATATTGTTACTACCACTTATTTTAGTTACTCCCCTTGATAATAAAACGTAATTATCAAGAACATAGAGTGTTTCGTTTAGATTAATCAAAACGTAGGTTTGAATTACAACAACAATACTGTGACAGATATATCTGTGTATAAACTAACATTAGTTGTCAATTTTTGCTTGCTAGAAGTTAATCAATGTCACGATGTATCTTTTTCCTGTGTACATGCAAAAGCATCAATTAATAAACGAAAGTAGATCACTAGTTATTTAACCTATTATCACATGACGCAGAATTCAACAGTAAATGGATTCAGATAAACCATAGAATGGATTGAAAAATAGGTTTCATATAATCTTGGTAGGTATTCATAAACAAATTTTATTTGAATTTCCGGAGAACTTCATTTTTCTTAAACACTGAACAATTATCAATATAATACTATAAAATCCCCCCAGAGATGCGACTCACTCAATTTTATGTGCTTACTAAATCCAGTGACTTAATATCATTATGTATCTCATTTAGAGTATGATAAATTAGTCTTAATAAATAACAACTCCTGGAAGTTGTTAGAAATTAATCTTACAGGACATAAATCATTGACGGGTAGTTTGATTCTCCAAGATTAAAATTTATTGATTGCGTGTTTTATACATTGGTATTACCACTAAGTTAGTTTGATTCATGAATTACCAGTGTCAACCATATTATTTTTAAAAGGAATGATACTAAGAATGATAAATCGATAGCTGAATGAATAACGATTTTCAGAATATCGAAATTCGATCATAGAATACATGTTTATCAACTTTTTATATTTTAGAAAACCTCATGTTGTTAAGTAATGTGAACAAATTTATTGATCTGATATTTGCACATATAAATATATCATACATTTAGTTGATTCACATACGTGCGTACTACACTTTTCATTGATTTGTTGTGATAGAAACTTGTACCTCTCTTACCAGATTCTTTGTCATTATCATGTACACTTGTTAATTACAGTGTAAAGTATATTTTATTCATTGCTACCACATGCTATTTCTTCAATGTAACATCTTATTAAATATAGAAATACTTCACAAAATGAGGATTAAGATTGTCTAGTATATTGTTAAGGTAATTAGATTAGTTTATTTGTTAACCAGATTTTGACTATCCTCTTATGTGTTCTTTTTTTTCGTATTTTATGGAATCATATCAGAAATTCTATCTGAAAATGAATCACTTAATTTTATGTTTTTCATAGAACTTTGAATTGGTTAAAATAAACTAACAAACAAGTAGCGTAAATATGCACAATTTTAGTTTACATGTGTGTTTCACACAAAAAACATTTCATTTTGTTAGTTACTACTCGAACTACATGTGAACATGTCACAATCATAATAACGTCATTATATTCAGATAGTCCAATAGTTTTCTTAAGAAAAATTAAGTTAATCAATCTGTTAATTGGAAAAATTTGAATTCTATATTAATGGCAAAGATAGATGGTGGCTAGCAGTGGAATCTAGGATGCGCATTTCGTCCTTATTGAAACTCGTCAGTTAGATGCACCTGCATCTCAGAGTTGGTGTTCGCTCTGGGACTCAAACCCAGTACCATTCGCTTCAAATGCCATCGAATTATCCACTCAGCTACTGAGTTCTGATAGGCTGCTTGCTTGCGCAATTGAGATAAGCGAACGGCACTGGATTCGAGTCCCAAATAGGACGAAACGCCCGTTGTGGATTCCACTGCTAGCTACTATCCATCTTAGCTTAAAAAGCTTGTGAGTTAAGGCTATATCGAGGCAATCCACATATGATGCACATATGTCAACATGCGATTGATAAATTGCAATCCTAAATTACAATGAGGAGTTACAGGTAAAGCAACATCACGTATATGATATGTATTTATTGTATTTATTTTTGAGTCAAATGTTGAACATGTCAGTTATTCGCTTATTAATCCTAACGTTTTTCAAATAATCGCATGTGTGCTAATTGCATACCTTACTCATTATGTGTCTGTTACCTATTTTTGTTCGACTGTAAATAACGAGTCATGGTTGGCTAAATTAAGCCGGCTCACTAACCTTCTTCACTGTGGGTCATTTAGTTTTGCATTTCTCTCTCCTCTTCGCTTCCTTTGCTCCATCTCCCTGATTGTCTGTTCAGATCAACGATTGTATAAAATATACTCATTCAGAGTTCGTCCTCTTATTTGACTTATTTAATTCCGTTATTTACTAACGCGAGTTAAGTCGATAATTATGTGCGAGGATTGGAGTCATGGATATTTCGATAACAAACAGCAAACGACCTACCTGGAGTCAGATCTCGGGCCAATAAAAATTCATTATGAATTTCAGCCAGAGTGACAGGTGTGAACTCTCGTTCGGTGTGACAATTTTATTTCCTGTATTAATTCAGGTAAGCTTTATCTAGTGTTTTTTGCAGGAACCCTATGTATTTTCTCCCTATATATTTCATTATAAAGTACGTAAAATTTGGTATATAGACGATTGTATTATGGTCTAAAGATGCTGTAATTTTAGGACTTATTATTGGGCCTGTATTTGGGGAGTCAATAAATGTTCGCTGCACTAGTCTATCATGTTATCACTGCTTCGTGGTAATTGTGGTGGTTCCCGGTTTCCAATATAAGCAGTGAGATCGGGGAACAACAGTGGTTCTCGATTGTCAAGTAAAAACAGTAAGACTGTGGACTCAACAGGTTCGATACGTAACAGCTAGCTACTCACTTATAACAGCCCCGACGGAGCCAGCTTTTCAGTTATAATAGTGGTGATCCGGATACAATACTTATTTTATCATAAAAGCACCTACTTCTGTAACACAATGATCGACATCAGGGTTTTCCCCAGCTTGGAAATTCCTATGAATCTACTCTTTGGGTCAAATAAAACAACAAATTTTAAGTATCGCTTTTTATAAGAATAACGGTCAGGGATGAAAGGACAAGGTAACACAATAGTCTAATCAATAAGTGTTTATACCTAGATATTTGATTATATTTTGTAAGAAATTCATTTACAAGCATTCGATTGGTTTGAATGATTTCTAGAAAGAAAGTAGCTTTACCATTTAATATTATTAACTAGGGTTAAAGGATGATGGATAGTGATTAGAAATAATTATTATGTTCAAATCAGATCCCATTTAGTGCGTTACCTAGACAAACTTTTACCTTATTGATGTATCACCAATTGTGAAAATTGCTATGATTCTATGCCACAGTTTCATATCATCCAGCCAGCTATCTATTGAGGAATAGCTTGAGAATACACCATCTCATTTCTAGAATAAATATACTGGAGGCGGACTAGAGATAAAATTTTGATAATCTTACTGTTTCCTTAGCCTTGTAATCATTTCTATAGACGTAAATACGACAGGGAAGATTTTTAACTCAAGAGGAGGTTTTTTAAAGTATTACATCCTTTGAGATGGGTGTTTTAATCATGAAGTTTTCATTGACCTTCTAGACTCGGAGGTGTAGGTTTTTTAGATCAAGACGAATCATCATGGTTTACTGCCGACTAGTCTCTTAAGGATGGTAATAACTTTTGTGAAAAGAAGAGAGAACATTGATCAAATTTAAAGATAACTGAAATTTACGAAGACATTCTTGAAACTGTGTAAAGATACACAATTTAATGTAATCATCAAATACTCCTGAAACAAATCTCTGTACATCCATTACATTTTAAACTTGTCGTTTTTTTTTTCAACTGTAGTAGCTTGTACTGAAGTTATCTGTAAATAATTCTTATTTAATCAATGTAGATTTAATGAGAGAATAGTTGGCTACTTTTATTGATTATGGAGGTCAATAAATCATATGATCAATTTGTGTTCAAGGTCAAACTTAAAAAGTTATATCCATTTGTATCTTGTTAGCGTGACTGAGATTAAGATTGTCTCCTAGCAAAGAATATAAACTAAGGTAAACATTCCATGTACTGGAACATAGGAAATTATTAATAGTAATTATCATAAAATCAACAACTAAACTTACCAGCTTCACAACGACAAAACTTCTTAAATCGTATTCTTTTTTTACTTCTTTCACATGGAGGACAATTGATATCTAAATGATGTTTTTTTTATATTTTTTGATAAAAAGAAAGAAATCATATTGAAAAACATCTTGAATGTTGATTCAAAAATGAACTCATGTTTCAATGATAATGTAAATTTATTTTATTGAATAACAAAAAGGCTATTTCGGTTTTCTTTTGGTTTTGATCCTTCAGATTTCACAAGTTTCACATCATCTGATAGAATTTCCAGCAACTTTTAAACATGTTTCATATTTTCTAATAGTGTGCATACACTAATCGAGTTGTGTTAATAGGATGTTTTCATTTCATTCTAATTTATTAGTTTATTGAAGTATGCCTTACTCACTTAATTAGTATGGTTTTCTTTTTACCTTCCAAAACTAATGAAAATAATTCAAATTGTCTGATTTAAAACGAACACGATTTTTTAAAGAAGCTAGTTATTTAGAGGAAGAAGCTTTCAAATTAGAATGGTGTGTCGAATAGGTTTAAGTTCATGTGAGGCCTATATAATCAATAACTAGAGGATAATATCTCAATTTGGATATGTGTGTGATTTACTGATTATAAATCATATGCATATTTTTATAGATTTTCACGAAGAATTGTTGGGGTTTCTGTCAGTGTAAGCAGTTTCGAATGTATTATACCTATAATTGGAGATCCATTTCAAAAATTTAATCATGAGAAACGAAAACATTGTACTGAAGTGACCACCAATTAGTGCATATATCTTATTAATCATTTAAAAATTCCGTCAGATAAAGTGGAATTCTTGGAATTTGTAGATGTAAAAGAAAAAAAGGGGGAAATAATATAGAAACAATTGACATAGGTTTTTAAAAGAATAGAAAGTATAACTTGGTTATCATGTTCGAATTTCGCCAAAATTTGAAGTTAACTGTATCTAAAATCTATTAATTCTAAAGCCTCCGTAAATAATTGTTGCTAAAATGTATTCAGTGTGTTCGGATTGTAATGATATGTAGTCATCAAAATTCCATGTGTAGCACGACTGATGTAAATATACTCTCAATCCACTAGCTATCTGAACATATAGGCATCTCACTGTGTTTGAATGATCAGGTTAATGAATGTTGTGATTTCCCTTCGGTTAAAGACTGTTTAACATGATAAGTCAACAATTCAACTGAATTTTCCATTTAGTATGTTTTCAGTAGTTGATTTACCATGAAAACATTCCTCGTAAGTGTTTTATCTAGTTGTTTTAACTTGTTAAACGAATAACATAACAGGTGGTTTGTTGTGTTTTATTTCTCACAATACTCTCACTGTAAATAAAAATTTAATTTTAAATTGATTACATACAATAACTCCATGCTCTTTATGATGAGAGATTTAAATATCAGATGAAATGACAATAATAAGATATTATTTATATTACATCAAACAAATTAGGGAAAACCTACTGAAGTATATTTAGAATTTACTGTTATATATTTATATTACTTAAATTCATTTTAAGTAACTTATTAGTCTAACAAATAATAGAGAGAAGAAAAGGGGTATTTAACAACCCCACTGCTTTTATTTAACCATTTTTCACTTAATCTTATGTTCTGAAATAATTATTTGACTTTATATTTGTCTCTGAAGTCTTAAATTACACTATTATTACTTGAAAAATGACAATTAATCTCCTTCTAAATATAACTTTAAAATGTCTTAGATTCGAACAAAATAACAACGTTTAAGCTATATATAAAAATTCATTCATTCAGGTTCATACATTACGAAATTTAAGTAAATGACAGACCAACAAAGATAAAGGAAACAATAAAATATATTAGGCAAGAGGAATATGTGAACTTGAAATCATTAAGTAAGAAGTAATTGAATGTTCAAACCTAAAGAAGGATTGGAATCATGTCACTTAACGTCCTTATTATCCTAGGGGAGATAAGAAATCAACTCGGATTATAGTTAGGTTTCAGCTAAGATGAAAACTTCAGCTATTTTGGTTTGTTCAGTTTTATCAATTTTATCCTAAACCTATTCACTCTCAGAATGTTTTACCTCGTCTCCTGATATATTAAACAGAGGACAGTAATGAAGAAATATTTTTCAAGTTTTGCAACATCACACCAACATTAGAGGAATAAGTAACTTTTGAATTCATATATTTTTGATGAATGGCTATTACAGACGCTAGAGACATAAGTTGATGAAGAATCATCAAGAACTTATTTTCTGAAAGTTGATAGACAGTAATACTAGTTGATCTTATGGTGATTGACTCAAACATCTAAAGCTCCTTGTTATTCTTCATGAAATTTCTTGGCAATACTCATCATACTCTACTACAAAATTAGAATCGTTGTCGTTTGAAAAAAAAATGTTCAAAGAGTGAAGGTATGACTTAGCACAACCATATTACTCTGCTACATAAATAAATAAACCAAATAACTGTACACAGTATAATACTTTATTCCTTGGTGTAAATCAGATCTAATCAATTATTTTGAAGATTATATCTTGCAAATATTATTTTCATAACTTACCAGTCTCTGGTTTAGACAATTGGGATTTGGTTGAATGAGCTGAAATGAAAATAAAAATCAACATAGATAAATTTACAGTTGTCAACGTTATCTCTCATGGATATGAAGAACAAATGAATGAAAGTTATTTGTATGTAAATGGCATTTAAATAATTAAATTTTTTGGTTTTATTCATTTTTTTACTTTTTTTAAAAAAATTGCAAACGGAATGTAATGTTGATATCTAACATGGGGGAGTAATTTTTTTCAGCTATGATATATAGTTTGAAAAACAATGTTGAAAGTTTTTTACACTGAAAAAATGATTTATCCAAGTAATTGGTTGTTTCCAACTAAATGATTAAATTTCGAGTTGTAAAAAAAATTAATTTTTGTCTTTTTAATAAGTATCAGAAGGGGTTTGTGGAGATTTTAGAAATTTTCACAGATTTAAATCATGAGTCAGTTGAAGCTAGATCACCATGGAAAACCCGAAAGTACTGGACGGCCGTTTCGTCCAAGTATGGGACTCTTCAGCATACACGATCCCACACCTCGCGGGATTCGAAATCAGGACTTACTGGCTTCGCGCGCGAGCACTTAACCATTAGACCACTGAGCCGGCATCCAATGGTGGTAATGTCTAACTCCTACCAATCCACGAAGTTGCGCCACCGTATACCATTGTCTTCAGTGAGCTGATATCTCACAGCAAACCTGGTTGAACTCCATTGGTAATGGCTTCCCACTAGAACTCCAGGAGTATCTCTTGAAGTCAGTCACTAGTGAGCAGATGATTATTATCAGAAGGGATCCCATACTAGGACGAAACGGCCGTCCAGTGCTTCCAGGTTTTCCATGGTGGTCTAGTTTCAACTGACTCATGATTTCAATCTGTGAAAATTTTTAATAGGTGTTAGTGAAATAAACGTTTGAACATGTAGAAAAAAAGCACTAGGGTATTTTGATCCGTGCTTTGATTATCGATTTTCTTCATCTGATTCAAAGTGATTTTCTATTTGTGGATGAGCGCTAAACGCTAAACGATCTCTTCATGGTAATTAGTGTTCTTTTCTGTAGTTCACATTACTGATCCTATTTTACTAGTCAAATTGCAGTGTAATCAAGTTGATTTGGCATCACCAAGCACTTAAAGAGGCCAGTAAAAGTAAACAGTAGACTTATGTCTTGTGTTAGGTGTCACATTTTATTAAAGTATATTTCAAATATTTTGGGATCTGATATCTTCAAGAGGACTAAAACTCATTCCAGACAGTTTTATGACCAGAACGATTGCCAAAAGTTGTTAGCTTGTTCGAAACCTGTGTCCTGATCTGTCTTACTGACAATAACTTGACATTAAATGTCAATCGGATTAATTTAGAGAATTTGTATAATTCATGAAAATCTAGTTCATCAAAATTTATTTAACATGTATTTAGAAAACCTAAACTAATGTCTAAATAAGCAAAGATGGATAGTGGCTAGCAGTGGAGTGGAGGACGCGCGTTTCGTCCTGTTTGGGACTCGTCAGCTGGATGTACCTGCATCTCAGAGTTGATGTTCACTCTGGGACTCGAACTCAGTACCGTTCGCTTCAAACGCCATCGTGTTATCCACTGAGCTACTGAGTCCTGATAGCCACTTGCTTGTGCAATGGGGAAGATTCAAGTAAAAACAATATCAAGTGAATTAAACTTCACCCCATTGCACAAGCAAGTGGCTATCAGGACTCAGTAGCTCAGTGGATAACGCGATGGCGTTTGAAGCGAACGGTACTGAGTTCGAGTCTCAGAGTGAACATCAACTCTGAGATGCAGGTACATCCAGCTGACGAGTCCCAAACAGGACGAAACGCGCGTCCTGGATTCCACTGTTAGCCACTATCCATCTTTGCTTATAATGCTTGTAAATTAAGGCAATATCGAGGCATACGCACAGTATGCACATATGCCAATAAGAGACTGATCAATTTCAGTCCTAAAACATCAATGGGAAGATTCAAGTAAAAACAATATCAAGTGAATTAATGTCTAACTAGTTTACTCCGATCCTCATCATCTTAAAAAAGCAACAGGGAACCCGAGTGGGCTGAACAATAAATCAGTTCTATTGTATGGGAGTTAAACATCTAATGTGTATCGCTAGTTTCTCTTGAAATACGATGAATATCTCTTATAATATTCTGTTTTTGATTGTTAGTTAACTAGTTTGTGAGAATTTCAGGGAAAACATTGAAAATCACTGAGCAACGAACAGTTGTTTCATTCTAGTTTGAAAATATCCAATAATGTGAAGGCACGGATCGGCAAAGCAAGAGCAGCATATTTACAACTGAGGAACATCTGGAACTCAAAGCAACTGTCAACCAACACCAAGGTCAGGATAGAGTGGGTTGGAGAATGCTGGTCGGCGGCCTATGCTCCATTGGGAGTAACAGGCGCAAGTAAGTAAAGTAAGTAATGTACACTTAAACTAAAATAAAACAAGTTGACTAATATTCATTTGATTTTCACGGTTCACTAGGTGATGTTAATCCATGGTAAACTAATTTCTCACTGAACAATTTCCACACACATCTACATCAATACTAAGAGTTAATTTGACATTATTGGAAAGTATAAGCAATTTGCTTCAATTAGTGAATTGTCAATACTTCGACAGTGCATATTCAAATAAAAAAAACTAATCTTCAGATTCAATAGTTTAAACTAGTTTAAAAGACAATTTGGTTGTACTCTGCAACACTGTTCCTAATTGTTTAAACCCGAATCCATAAGACTTAAGAAAGAAGTTCTGCATTTCGAATCTTTGATCAATTCGATAACCATGGTATAAATGAGTATTTTTATTAAAACTTAGTAAAAAATAAAAGGAAATGAAAAACTAATAGAAAGGTATGCTTCGGAAAAACAAATAATTGAAATGCACATTATGAAGTATGAAGTAATAAGTAAATAAATTAGATAATATAATCTTATCACAGTAAAATTAAATGGTTCTACAAAGCTTTCATATTTACAGTACTGGAGTTCATAAATTACTGCAAATATGTAAAGTGTTAGACTAAATATGTATTAGTTAAGTGAATAAACATGAATTGCTTGGGAAATTATAAATAGTATTAATCGATCAATGGAATTAAGTAAATTCATGATGTATGATCTTTAGTATTGACAGAATTCTAGTGATGAAGTTTTGTGCTATACAGTAAATCGCCTTAGTCATATGAGAGGCCAGTCATGAATAAATCAACCGTTCTTTTTCATTACCTTTGACCACTTAACTGACAGATAGAAACATAAGAATCCGTTCTGTGTGGCACGACTGATGGACACTGCCGTGGTTTTCCAGAAAGATACCCTACCTCTATGGTTTTCACTTGCTCATCAGTTTATATCAATTCCTGAGAGGAAAATACCTTATGTTTATAAAAAATATGCACGTATCTAGAAAAAGTCAAATGGTATATTATACTCGTCTATGCAACAGTAACCAATATCATGTTTCTCTAGTATTTATAAGGTTGTTTGAATCCTATCGATCTAATTGGAATGTAGCCATTAATCTAAAGGACTTGACATTGCATGCTTGATGTTTCGCTATTAAGTAATGAAAAGTAGTTGACAGGAAACCTTAGGGCCAAGTTTCGTATCTGTTAGTACTTGTCACTAAGGCATACCTGGTTTTAACCCCTTTGAATCACTCATTAAATACTAAACATACATATATTTGATATGTTGATTTTTATTTGCTATAATATAAAGAGAAAAAAAATCACACTTAGAATTTCATTCTTTTCACATCAGTTATATTACAATAGAACGATAATTAATCTTCTCATCTAAAAGATGTTTGCAGAGTTAAATTCTTTCTCACAAAGCAAATATAATTTCTTAGTTGTTATTGTGTAAGTGAACGGAACAAGACTTACTCAATTGATTTCTCTTTCAAACACATCATTAAACATCTTTATTCTTATAACTGTGTTATGATTTCAGCTAAGACTATTGAATAGTCTTATTGGTGATTGTAAAAAAGAAAGTTCTAAGTATCTTTGATAAATACTTCGAATTGAAGTTAATATAATAAAACTACTCACTATCAAATAAATTTGCTTCCTTGTTTTTCCCCCTTTTTGGTTACAAATATCCTGTTTGCTTATTTATTTATTTTTTTGGTCAACTTCAATAGTTAAAGTGTGAAGATGTTCATCTATTTTTTTTGGGGGGGGTACTATTTTCAAGAGGAGAAATAAGAATTCCTCATCAATGCGTTTCACTTCTTTTCTTTTTTTCAGTAAAAAATTCAATCAGCTTTATTATTATATAATTTGGATCATTAAATTCTATTCTGTTCATTTCTCTTTTTTTTCTTTTTTGTTCATTTTCTTCTCATACACACAAAAGTCTTTTGTTATATTACTTACAATAAATGTATAAGTAGTAAGTTATTTCAGACTAAAATGAATAAAATGAAATAATCAATTAGATTTTCATTGACAAAGTGAGTCATTTTTTCTTTCTTCTGTTAGCTCATTCGTTTTTATTTGTTATTTCGATACACAGAGAAGAAAACAAATGTATTGGAGGCGTGAAAAGTAACACTATGGATAAATTTATTTCGGATATTTACTACTAATAATATATTTGTATACATCGATTTACTAATCGGTTTGATGGAGGTAGTGTCGTTGTGTACATATGTGTCAATTACGTATGTTGGTGAATAATAAATAAATGTACATTTATATGGGTTAGCTCTTAAGTGTATATATTATTCGTATAGAATATCACAATGACAAATATTCAGCGAACAATGTAATGGCAATATTTACTAATGAAATAAAGAAGTGATAAGTAGTAATGCAATTTGTTTCATTTAATTCCCTTGAGAAAAAAAGAGATGAAAAATAATTATGTGATGGTGATCTCCAATATTTCTCCTTCATATAATGAACTGGCACAACATCAGGCAAAAACCAGCTGTAATAAATTTAACATAACTGAAGTAATTCAATCCTGACTAGACGATACCTTATATCTAATTGATCAATTAG